AAATTACATATACATAACAATACACTAATATAATATACATTAACAATCTTAACATATACATATACATATATATAACATACAATACACTACACATCAGATACGTAAACGTATACGTATACACGTATACGTATACGTATACATATACATATACATTATACAATAAAATACTACATATACATATACATATACATATATATATACATTACTATACATATTACTTAATATACATATAATTACATATAAATTTTACATATTTACTATACAATATTAATAATAAATTACATATAAATTTACATATTACTATACAATATACATATACAACATATACATTATACCACTATACATCTAATATAAATACCTAACAGTACTACATCATACATATCACTATATACATATACATATACACTGCACATGCACATGCCCATGGCACCACGGCAACAGCGCACGAGCGCACCGCACACGCACCGCACAGCACACGCACACGCACACGCAAACGCACACGCACACGCCACACGCACCACGCACACGACACGCACACGCACACGCACACGCACACGCACACGCACACGCCACACACACACACACATACATACACATCACATATATATACATATACATATGCATATGCACATACATATACAGATTGTGTCGGTTTTGTGTTCCTGTTACATCATTCAAATGAGCATTTGCGGAAGGAAATTGTCAGAAATTTCATAATGACAGAAAAACGAGGAAAAATGATTTATGGAATTAGTTTAAAATTGGGGATCTCTTTTTATTTCCGTAAAATGAAAATCAGACATATGCTGTTGCATATATATATATATATAATATATATATAGATATATATAGCGTTGTAACTACTGTTATTTGCCCAAAAACGTTAAATTCCTTAGCGAACGAAAGAGTTTAGAGAAACAAAAACTGACGCCGCGTGCTCCGATCTCAATCTCTTAGACAACATGTGAGAAAAAATACGGGCGAAGTTAGAAAGCCGAGATTCTACGGCATAAAGAACGCTCCGTTTAATCGACATGCGGAAATTCGCAGGCGACTCCGTGCGCTTATTAGTACCAACGGTCGTTTTAAACGCCGCCGCTGTTCGCCCCAGCTTAGTGGTGTGCGGGCGTAAACAGCGAGTGCCGACAGAACCGCTGGGCCGGCGGAGCTACTACCTACCAGCGCCGCACACATCTGTAAATCACGCGCTCCATTCGCCGGGCCTCGCTCCAAATCCGGCTACGAATCCAGCGCGATCCATCCTTTAAAGCAGTGAGCCATAATTTATATTGCACTGCCGTTGAAAGGGCGCCTGCTTATGCGCGCGACTCGCGCCTCACAACCCACCAGTGAAACCAGTTATGTCTGCGTTAGCGCGTCGACGTACGAAGAGTTCAGCACCGGCAACAATGGTCCTTATGATCAGCGATTGTGTGATCGTGGAACAGGATAGCAGCGGATAATAATTGCCTGACGTGTAGGCCCAGACCGTAACTGTTTATGAATGACTGACCAAAATATTACCCATAGTCACTGTTACCGAAATCGACTTACTGGCCGGCGGACCTCAGCTTTAATGTCGCGGCCAATTGTATTTTGAAAAAAAGTCTTATAATTATTTAGTTTTCTAAGAAAGTAAACCACACGCTTAAGTAGTCTTTATGTGTCAGTCGCTGATCGCGGTTCTACATGTGTAAATATAATGCCAGCACATAGTTCGCAGCTGTAGCAGGCACGTGCGTGAGACGGCGGCTGAAGCTAATACGGCCGCGCCGATTGCTTTTGCATTGGCCTAGCATAGAATCTTTGTCACAATAGCGAAACTTGTAAATCTCGACATGTATAGCTGCGGATTTTAGGTTTTTATTACTACGGCTGCTAGTGTTTGCAAACAAGGCTTGAGCTTTATATCGCATGGCCAAAACAAACAGCACTGCCCCACTAAACGCTACCATGTGTTTTGCATGTGCACCCGCACCACATAAATTGTTACGTTTTTTTTTGCCGCCAGATAACAGACGACTTCTAAATTAATAGGGATTTGTTGGAGCAGGTTTGACTTCTAGAATAATGGCGTCAGCTCTCTCCACGCCGTTGCGAGAGTAGCGAGCAGCCTACTGTTGATTAAGCTGCTTCGCTTGTTTTGCGAGAGTCTAAGTACAATGATAGTAACATATCCATCCATCCATCCATCCATCCATCCATCCATCCATCCATCCATCCATCCATCCATCCATCCATCCATCCATCCATCCATCCATCCATCCATTAATCCATCCATCCATCCATCCATCCATCCATCCATCCATCCATCCATTTTCTGATGACCTCTGTCACCATTCTGTAAAAATACTCCTCCTTCCCTGCATCCCACCGCTGCATAGTTTTAGTCTGCCTTCCCTCTGCACCCCTCTATCTATTCCCCTACTCTTCCACTTCATTTCGCTGCTATTCTCTCCTCTTCGTTCGTCGCTATTATTTGTCCTTCCGGTGCCGACGCTGTTGACAATCCAAATGAAATCTGCCACATTTGTATCTCTCGCCCAATTTGTTTATTTCGATTATTCCTCTACATGCGCGCGCGTGTGTACGAGGCAAAGTCGACAATTTAATTGAAATGCTATCGGTGCGTCCTCCAATATTTGTCACACACACAGGTAGACAACCACCCGTCTCTTCTGATGTGTATGCGTAGCGAAATCTGCCTCAACTTGCTTTGCATTTGTCTCCCATCTTTTCAAACAGCGTGTTGTTTCTTCCCCCGTGTGTCGACCGCACGCATACAGACGTGCATCCGGCTACTGACTGAATGCTGTTCTGTTTACGTTGTTAAAGCCACATCTATACCGCGGCTTGACAGATCGGGGCGGTTGGGAACAAACTGAAAGAATCTTGTTGGCGTAACAAAGGCGAGAGCCCTGATAATGAATACATAAAACGCGCGAGGCCGTATTAAAACTGGATGCGAATTCGGCACGAGCGTCCACATGCACGCTGTTCGTGTTAAACTTATCTAAATATCAAAGGCGCAAATAGATGTAGATCGTGATCGGTTCCACGTTGTAAACGTCGACGGAGAAAGCAAGAGGGCAGAAAGCAATAGCCGCGTTTTACTATGGACGTACTGATGCCGCGTGCGTGCGTCGAGCGGAAGTGTGCGCCGACGTTCTGATAAAAGCAGATCGCGAAGTGCACGACTGGAAACATCGGCGCTTTATATACGCGGCTATATAGCTATATACACCTGTGGACACGTCATTGTGAACTACTACATGTGGGATGTGCCAGCGCACTTGTAATATAATGCGACGCCCTGCGGGTATACGATTGTATTAGTATGCGCGGGCTT